GTTTTTCTGTTTTTTGCCAATAACTTCCAAACGGATGGACGTAGGGGGACGTTTATAGGCTCATTTTGTAGGGGACGACGAGGTCTACAATATCTGCGTAAAAGCAATTCTGTACACGCACGCAATCAACTGTCGTAGTTACGAACTATCAGTCTCAAGCGATTAATCAAAGCTGAAAGGTCGGGGGAAATCGAATCGGTTTTTTGGAATCGAATAGCTGAACCGAATTATTCGCAGGCCATCACCTGTGAGCCGGTCTAATTAGCACGCGGCCGACACGTGGCGTGGTCAGTCACGGCAATTTCTCACGGCCGTTTCGACTCATTCCAATCTCGGTTTTATCGCGTCCATCTCCATATCATTACCATATTCCTCATTTCCGCGCCTGTCCTACATAAAAGTGACAAAGGCCTTGCATGCATTATAAAAGTTAAAATTGTGATTCACAAGTCTGTTGCTGCTTTAGTGTACATTAACACTAAATTGTCTCTTGTTGCCGAAATTTTATTTTAAAAAAACTTTATTCAAAACAATTTTTACATATATATATTCTGTCTTTAAAATACATTCTTCGCAGATTTTTTTATTACATTTAGCACAGACGTCCATCTATTTCTTTTGCATGATACTTGAATTTCATTCAAACTGGAATTTAAAGAAATAAAATAAAAAAAGAAGTAAAAGAAAAAACACATTATTACAAATTATGTGAATAATTTAAGAAATATGCAACGCCTATAATTAATATTCTTTATTAACTGAAATGGTGTACTGTTTTATTATAAAATTTATTATAAGAATTATAATTCTCGTATTATTATTATTACTATCTTCTGTAAGAAATAGACGTCTATTTTCGCGATAGACCTGTGTACTTTAATGCGACGTGAAGAATTCGCAAACTAGCGAAACAGGGTCGGCATCGTGCAGAAACAATAACGACAGCAATAATGACTATCGGCAGCTTGAAAATCGACAGACAAACGAGCGTCGTGTCGCATCGCGGCGCGGCTCCTAAATAAAATTTCCCGGACGAGACGATCGTGCTCCGTTCCTCGAGTTTCCACGTGTTTCCACGTTTCTATTTGCTGACTATCGATGAGAGAAAACTCGATCGGCCCGTTCGCGTACGGCCAAATTTAGAGAAGAGATCGCGCCAGTTTTGCTTGTTTCGTTCTTTCGACACTCTGGAAAATCGAGAGAGCCAACACTGCAATCATCGGGAGCTTGTCAACGGGGGAAAAGCGAAACAGGAGACAACACGTTTGTTAAAATTAAAACCAGAGGTAGAGAGAATGACTGTGATGTTTAAGTGATCATTTAAATCTCTCAGCTTGTTTCAAGGAACTAACGAAATTAATCTCTTGCCTTGTTAATTAATATTTCATCTCGGGTTTTCAGTTTGCCAACACGTTTGCCGCACGTTTCAACGAAGTGCATGTTGGCTCGCTTTTTCTCTTTGCCTCTGCAGGGTATAAATAAGGCGACATGCGTTGCTAAATCGTTTCACCATCAACGTAAATTACCAAGAAATTTTCTGCTCTTATAATGCACACGTATTCTACAAAATATAATATGTCAATAAAAACGAAATAATAAAAATGAATTTTGATTTACAAAAAAGAATTCGTTCAATAAATCTAATAAATCGAAACAATCAATTTTTCAATCACGTGATGGATTGTTTGAAATTATCTTATTGACTGGACCTTTGTAAATGATTGAGAAATCGAGTTTCTCAAGAACAAGAAAAAGAACGAAATCTCGTTTAAACTTCGGCCTCTGTTAAAAACTGGAACAACTGGAGCAATTTTGCACCGAGTGTCGAGACGCAATCAGCGTCCAACAAAGGAAGGGAGACACCGCTATGTAATTAGTGTAATGCGACCGCTTAATTGCAATCAACGCCAATCTAAGTGTCCTTTAATTATTCAATATCGTAATTGATCATCCTCAAACGATTCGCTCAATCTTGTAATCCTCTTTCAATCTCATTCAGCAATAAAGCTCCTGCTGTTGTTTTTACTATTATTACAGACGAGATACAAGTACAACTGTAATTCTACAGGCTTTAAAAAACAAGAGACACGATATAAATCGATCAGTAAGCCTGTTTCGTATATATAGATTCAATTAATCGATAGAAGAACGCGAGATAAAACGTGTACAAGTGTATGCTAGTAAATCTTTTTTGGAAGGAAACAGAAATCGCGTAGCGGAAGAATTTCACCGGTATCGAGCACTCGATTGCGCGGACGTCGTCGGATTTACGAGGGCCGGTCAAATGAGGCGGACCGGTAGCGTTGGAAAAACGGCAACGAATTTTCCATCGCTTGTCAACCACAGGGTCTCTGCATCGGTCATTTTTCATCCCACACGTTCCCCAGCTCTTTCGTTTATATCACGGGGACACTGAATTTTTAAACCGAAACAGAAACCTCTTTCCTAAACATTGGCAACCTTTCCTCGTCCCACTCGGAAAACAGAAGAAAATTTGCAACTTTTATCCGAGGAGGATCCAGAGCACGGATAGAATTCTTGCAGAGTTTGTTAGAAGAAACCGACGAGGGGGGCGAGATAAAATTCAAGCTGTCGTTAGTAGAATTAGAGCCGCGCTGAATTAAGAGATTATGAGCAGTTTTTATAGGAAAAAGTGTCGGGATGAAGATAGAAATTACAATCCTCGCAATTAGACAATTTCGTCGGATACGAATTGCGATTGTTTGAACTCCTACGCTGAAAAAGCAGGCAATCAGGAGAAAACGGTCTCGTACGAACGATCCGTAACGAGATTTCAGGATGATAAAACTTTATGTCGTTCGCCGGCACACTGCTTTGTAGTCTCGGCAGAGTCCGAGAGACAAGCGTATACCCGTGTCACGCTTTTCAATTTCGTGACGGGTTACGCGGAACGGCTGCAAGAATTTTCATGATAATGTGTCTTGATAATTAAGAGACTCCTTAATTGAATCACTGTTAATTTACTTGCAAAGTGCTTCACCCTAAAAGCAGAAGTCTGTTCGAGTCTACTGTAAGTCGTTTCTCAATGGAGATTCATAAAAGTTTAAACGAAATTCAAAAAATTTAATTAGAAGTTTAAACAATCCTTAACCGTAATTTCGACCATGTAAATCTTATTTTTCGCAAGAAGTTTCATTCTTTAAAAGATATTTGATTTAATTACATTTTTAAGTTAATGTTTGGGTATTGAAATTGTATTTAAGGTGCCGACGAGTCACCCAGCCAGGCTGTTCTCGTTCATGAATCCCTTGGCGATTCAGATTTGGCTGTACGTGCTGGCAGCGTATGTCCTCGTCTCGGTGATGATGTTCGTGGTCGCAAGGATCAGCCCGTACGAGTGGAACAATCCGCATCCCTGTCACGCGGGCTCCGAGCTCGTCGAGAATCAATTCTCCCTGGCCAACAGCTTTTGGTTCACCATCGGCACGTTGATGCAACAAGGCAGCGATCTCAATCCCAAGGTTTGTCACTGAAATCCTTTAAAACTAGAGGAATCTCTCTTGCATTTCACTGGTGTAATTCCAATATAAATTCATGAGCAATCTGAATGTCACAATTAATAATGCACGTCCTATTATCGAATATTTAATTTCATGAAAATTAATAATCCCAAATGTGTTTCATAATAATAATAATAATAATAATAATAATAATTAGGGAACCGTATTAATCGAATTAAAATGAATGAGATGATGAATTGATTAGAGGAAAAGACAGATTGTGTCACTATTCTATTTTCTCTTTCAATGCGCAAATCTATTTGTAAATAAATCAAGAGTTATGCCAGAATAATAATTCGGTATAATCAGCAGATGCAAATTAATTGATACCGTAGAAACATTGTGGACAAGCAGGCGAGGGAAACGCGAGTGAATTTATATCAGAGTCAGATATTCCGCAGCGAGAGGTCTATTTTGACAACATCCGGTTCCGGACAAAAACAGTCTCGCCGATAAATGTGGAATCGATGGCTGGAAAACATACGTGCCGGAATATCCGATATGTTTCCCCTGTCTTTCCTGTCGATTGCCCTGTGAAATAAAATTTCTGAATTATCGCTGACAAATTGTCGATATGATCCGACCACATTTTCGTAACATTGTTTTAATTCCTCTTCATGTAAAAATAACTGGTTTACTCTCATACATGTTTGTACTATTTTTTATAATTTGAGGACGTTGTCAAAATAGAAGAGTAAGAATTAAATCATTTTACTATAAATTTTAAATACTTGACGTGATCGTCTCAATACGATTAATTGCTTTTAAAAGAACACGTCGCATGAGCTGTTTCTTTTTTAACTTCTGGTAAACGCGAGCAGGTAATCGGTTAGAGTGAAAGACACCTGAAGATTGCAACTCCTCGTGGATCTTCGATTTGTTCGAGGGAGCTCGGAACGTCTCTCGATTAGCGGTGACACGGACCGATAGTGATCGGACCGTTTCATTAAATAGAGTGAACTAACCCCCAGCCTTTCCGTTTGTATCTTGGAAATTCCATTGGAGAGAATAATTGAATCTCTACCGAAATGTCTTTTACGCTGAAGTTCATTAATAGAAATTACCAAAATTTTAATAGAAATTAAAAAAATTCGGAAATCCTAAAAAATGTTTCATCGATAAATCGCATAAAATGTAGCACCGTTTAATTAGTTTAATAATTTGAGATGATCTTTTGACGCTCTGTTTATTAGGCGACCAGCACACGGATCGTCGGGGGTATATGGTGGTTCTTCACGCTTATCATTATCTCTTCTTACACGGCCAACTTGGCCGCGTTTCTCACTGTCGAACGAATGATAACGCCTATTGAGAACGCGGAGGACCTCGCCGGTCAAACTGATATCTCATACGGGACCCTGGACAGCGGTAGTACCATGACATTCTTCAGGGTAAATCCTCGATAACTGAAATTATACGGGCATACAATTACGAAATGCAATACGGGCATACAAATGCGAAACCCTTTAAAGGACTCGATGATCGAGACGTACAAGAAGATGTGGCGGTTCATGGAGAACAAGAAGCCATCCGTGTTCGTGCCGACATACGAGGAGGGGATCCAAAGGGTTCTTCAGGGCGATTACGCTTTCCTGATGGAGTCGACTATGCTCGACTACATCGTGCAGAGGGACTGCAATTTAACGCAGATCGGTGGACTCTTGGATAGCAAAGGATATGGCATTGCCACGCCTATGGGTACGATAGCGTGTTTCCTCCAGGTGTACGAGGATTAAATTTGTTATCCTGCTTACAGGCTCGCCTTGGCGTGATAAAATATCCTTGGCGATCCTGGAACTACAGGAGAAGGGAGAGATTCAGATATTGTACGACAAATGGTGGAAGAGTCCCGGTGATACTTGCATGAGGACTGAGAAGGGCAAGGAGAGCAAGGCCAATTCTTTGGGAGTTGATAATATAGGTAATTCATTCTCAGTTTCTCTCATACATAAATTCTCATAAAACGTGGAATTTTAAGATATAAAATGAATTATGAAAACAATTTTTAATATGAAGCATCAATTATTATTGCATTTATTAAATAAGATAATTAATTTCTAATAATTTTGAATGATATAAAATGAAGTATTACGCGCATCGTTGCTTTTCTGTTTCGATTTCTTACCCAGACTCTCCCTTCACGTGAGTCGCAGCTGAACCGAGCCTGCTCGGTCAGTGACAAATTCGATGAAACAGTGTCCTAACCGCGATTAGGACCGATGAGTAATTTTTACGTCTGCTTCAAACTGAATTTCTGGTGTTGCTTCGTAGGTGGTGTGTTCGTTGTGCTGCTCTGCGGCTTGGCGTTCGCCGTGCTGATCGCGATCTTCGAGTTCTGTTACAGTAACAGAAGGAGCATGCCAGCGGAACGGGTAAGTACCTGATCATGCATAAATCCCTCGCGCCGGAGATGAATAAAACGTGGCAAGAGGAGAAGTTTCGCTTCGCACACAAAGGTTTATGAGGTTGAAAAACCTCAGGTTTTCCTGATCGACGATTTTTCGCGGGTCGAGGAATAAATAAGGACTCGGAGACAGATCGTAGGAAAAGAGAGATTTTTTTCCAGGCGATCCCGCGCGATGCATGATGCTTAGGATTGCATAAATTTTTCTCACTTTTGTGTTACATTTTGTGGCCCGCCCGTGGATTTTTCCGCGAAGCAGCATGAACTCATCCTTCACTAAAGCATGCCGGTCGACTGCGAACGCACGAAGCTCAGTCGTGAACCAAGGTCCGTTCTTCTTTTCAAAACCCCATTTTTTTCTCACCCATTCTTGATTTAACTCAATTCATCAAATCTATTTTTTAATGTTTAACAATTTTCCGAACAATTATTATCGTGTAGCAAACACAGTGCTTCCTTGTAATTGCAAAAGCGATACTTCAGAATTAATTCTACTTGTGTCGGAACGGTGTTAAAACGTAGAGAGCTCCGGTATCGACGCCAGCGTCGGATCCCCTGCAAGGGATCTCGCAATCCGTGCAGCAGCAACAGCAACAGCCGCAACAGCAGGAGGAGCAGCAGCAAAATCAGCAACACCAGCACCATCAGGAGTCCCTGTGCTCCGAAATGGCGCGGGAATTGTGTCGCGCGTTGCGCTGCAATGCGTCGTCGCGGCGCCGACGCGCTTGCGAGAAATGCTCGACCCACGTGCTCGGCTACACGCCGGACAACCCTACTGCCACCCCCTTAAACGGGATGAGATCGCAGGTCAGCATTCCGACAATTCATAAATATTTATTAATTATTGTGTTTTATATAAATGCTTAATATTTTAATAATATTATATTAATTATTTGATATTCTATAAACGTTGCAATAATAGTAATATTAATTTATAATTTAATAATTCAATAATTTTAATATTAATGTACATTGTGTATTGACACTTCAATATATGTTATGCAAAATACATTTCTCTGTTACAGAGAAGCAGTCTGAGCGTTCCCACGGTCGAACTGCCGCAACACATCCACATGCATCATCACGGACCACCGCTGCCGCCGGGCCACGACTATGACGGGACTTAAAGCTCATGATCCGCTTTGCACTCTTTTTGTGATCACTATTTAGGGCCTAACGGGAGCTAGACAAGAACGAGGACGGAACGAGAGGATCCAGAAGAGGAGTAAATGAAGAAGAAAGTACAAAAACGCATCAAGTGGCACCGGACGGACCGAGATATCGACCAGTTTCATTTTCCTTTTTTCATCTTTAAATAGAGATCGAGGGTAGAATACCGCCGCGAGTGTCACACACATCGAGGATATCACCGAGAATGAGTAACTGCACAATTTCCTCCAAGCAAAATTTCCTATTTCAAAGAACGGGCTCAGTTCACTTTACTGATCCGAGCAGTAGAAGATGCACCGAGATTGTTCGCACACGTTCACACGGAGGGAGACAGCGGTGAGACGCGATCTCCTCGCGTCTCGGAACTTCTTCACCCGATTTCTCACTTCTATCGCGTAGAAATATCGAGGTATTCGTCACACGAAGCAACAGCCAGGGGAATCCGTGTCTCTACCGGCAAGCGATTAATCAGACCCGAGAAGAAAACATCGTGTTCCTCGAATTTTTCAAGACGGAGAAACGTGGAACGAGAGATGAAACGGCTGAGGCGAACACGCGAGCCTCGAGCACCTTTTAAAGGCTATTGGCTCGCACGACTAATCATCGACAGATTTCAGCGAAAAACGTGCCAGTGCTCGGGAGGGAAAAAGAAATGACACTTTCACGGGTTTTGTTCGAGTACCAGTAAAATGGTAAGTCACGGCAAGTGTTCAGTCGTAGAAATCGTGTGAACCAACCGGATCGAAGTTTATTTAATGAAAAGATTATGACGAGTCAGGAATTTTAAACTCTCAATTACACGGAATTTGGTTTATAATACGGGTGTTGTCCCTTCAAAAATTTGTCTAATCGTCAATTTGTACACATCGCCGCTTGTCACTTAAAAATAAAAGTTGCTGAGAATCAGAATCAGACGAGATTATGCAACTACGTAACTGCCAAATGTATTCCCTGTTTAGTTTCTTAAAAAAAATTCGATGTTTCCATAATGTCAAAAATTTCTTATAGTTTAAACGATAAATACTACTTGATTCTCAGTTTGGAAATCGCAAAATTAACATTTACAGAACGATTTCACGTTTCATATATCACATTTTATATAGTATAATTCTGACCGACGACCAAGATGATATTTAAGAGAAAGAAGAAAACGGATTACGACACGTTTGACGATATTTGCACATGTTTTGACACACTAGACTAGACTAGACTTTCGTGTAAAATACCGCGGCGGCACGCGCGAAAGTAGATCCCGTTTGTGAGTATTTTAAGATATTAAAAGAAAAAAAAAATACAGGAGGCGAGAGTAAAACTGTTTAGCGTTAAAACGAATGGCGAATGAAAAAAAAATGCGAGTACAACCAAGTAGACGTTTGGTGTCATTTCACGTGTGTATAATGCAGATTAGAATGGCGAAATAAACTATAAAACGTGACGACGGACAGGAGTGTTCTTTTCTTCGCACCTCAGTACCTTTTTCTAATAATTACTAACTAATTAATCCACTAGAAAAATGATCGATATAGCTGTACTATCTATGGAACAAATACATTTTCTGCCAAGTACAATAAAATTGAATAATCGTTAAAATTATAGGACAGGTTTTACTTAAACTAGGAATAGAGACTCGGGTGTGCTTTGCCAAGACATTTTTTATATAACATCATTTATTAAGGGATAAAATAAATGACAAATAACATATCGCTTATATGAAACTATAACATTTCTTAGTGTTCATTCGTTATGATATAAAAGAAATCACATCACATACGACCCTTCGCGTAAACGCATCCGCGACCAGCGTCAGCTCGAATCCGCTCGCGGCGAGTACACGCCGAAGACGAATCACTCGCGCTCACCGTTCCTCGAAGCTTCGTTTTCAAAAAGTCACAATGAAAATGATCACAGCACGCTTTGCGTTCAAGGAAAAGAGGAATCCTTTAATTAGTCCTCGAAGAGGATGATGACTCACGCCGCGGCCCATGATAAGACTAGGCATTAACCGCGTCGCTTAATCGAATCAACATGACCGAGGTGTTTCAGGCGGAGTCACGACGAAAGGAATTCCACGATTCCAGAGGATGGGATAAAAATCTGAAGCCGTAAGTAAAGATAACAAAAGCATAAGCGAAGAATCGAAAGCACGAGTACAGATATAAACGTATAAAAAAAAAATAAGGGAAAAGTGGATCGCGAGTGGTCCTTGAGCGGATTTGAGCTGATGCGTACGCGTGCCTACTTCTCCTGACATACAATAATTAATAATATAATCGACTTAATCCATTCGGAAGGGTCTAGTCAAATCACTTGTAATTATCACACGATCATACTCGACGCGGTGGCATGTAAATGTTTTTTTTTTTTTCTTAATTTCTTTTTTTTCCACTTCTTCCATTACTTCTTTATGAAGTTCTTTACTTTTTCTGCTGTAATAATATGTTTGTTTGTTTGTTTCTTCTTACGATTTTTCGGAGGTGGCTCGAGCCCGCGACCCGAACACGTCGTTTCTTACAAGTTAAACGTTCACGGTTTGTCTGTATATGTATAAATGTGTAACGGGTCTGCATACGTGAGCCCGTCGCTGTTGAAATTGAAAAATGAGACAATGAATACGATGAGGCTCCAGCCAGGAGGCAAGGAGACATCGCGTGTCTTATGCGCGGGACAAATGCCTCGTTCTTTCTCTCGATTACACTCCGGGTCTTTTTTCGTCTCTCGTCCAACTCAATATATCCACCCTTGCTTTAAATATCGAGGCGTCCAAGTCTCGTTGTCCTGACGCATCACGCTGAAGCAACCATGACTACAAAAACGACGAATTTCGTTCCCGGTTAGTGAAATACTTAAAGCACATCAGGAGACTTAAAAATAAATTAAATTAAATTATATTATATTCATTAATCATTTAAAAATAATAATGGTTGCGCCAGCGTAGAATCGCACGGTTCACATCGATTAAAGAACGAAGATTAAAATAAAAGAAGACTGAACCTCGCGTCAGGAGGACGGGCGCGAAGGTAGAAAAACAATAATAATTATCATCGCCCAACTTTCTCTCCCTTTCTCCGTTTCTCGGTAATCAGCAATTTTCTCTTTCTCTCGGAATCTAACAAGCCTCGCGTTCATTTATTATCCCGCTACTCGTTTTCAGCCCGACTACTATAATGCTTATTTAATTTATGAGATCAGTCCGGGCGTCGACTCACGCCGCGAACACCGCAACTCCCTTTTCCCACCCTCTTACCACGTTCACCCTCCCCCCCGCCCAAAACCCGGACGTACCCCCGCGACATTCTCTCGCTCTGCGATCCAGTGAAGCGTCAAGAAATCGACCGTTATGAGGAAGAGAGAAAGAGGAAAGAAGAAGAGAAAGAGAGATGCAGAGAGATGGGGATGAGAGGGTAGTTTCCCTCTTTTCGAATTGTCTCGACTGAACGACGGAGAGTTCAAGTACCCTTCGGTTGAATCTAGATCAGGAACGATTTCGATGCGACGATGATAAAATGACGTATAAAAAGTTTGACAATGTGTCGAATATAATGACGGTTGAGCCTCGATAGCGAAAGAAGTCTCTTTGGTCGTAGAGTCGTCTTCTTTAACCGTTTACACGCCGAGTGCGACGCGTCGGATTCGAAACATTAAATATATTTATTTATACAATATATATATATATATAATATATATATATAATATATATAGGTACGCGTTAAATAATTTCTTCTTTATAAACTACGTTAAATATCGTTCTGTTTTGTTTTTTTTTTCTTTCGGACAAACGCACGGACATCCACTTAAATACAAACGCGACACTCGGAACCGTTTTTATTTATTTCTGAAACGTGTGGAACGCGCGGAACCGAGAAGGAGAGAAAGAACGGTCAGCGTTCTGATTTGATCCGGCCCTGTAAACGGTTAATCCCATTTCTGTGTGAATGTACCGAGTGTGTTCGTTAGGTACAAAAAAGGAGAGCAATCGAAGATGATAGAGAAATACAAAACGTCGAGACGAGTTGGAAAAGAAGATAGAAAAAAATGAGAGAGAAAGAGAGAGAGAGAAAAGATAGTTGAAGAAACATAGAATACTGTGGCTCGCATGTGTGACATTCCCCGCATGTCACCCCGCATTTTCAAATCAAATCTATTTGGTTCTTTGAACGATCATCATCAAAAATCCCTGATACAATTTATGCACTCAGGGAACAATTTCCAAGTTCCACTTCATACTTAGAATTTCAATAAACTGAGCATGATTTTTTATAACAATCAAAGAACTGTCGAAAGGAATAAAATAATTCGTACAGGAATTCTTCGAAGATTTTAAAGAAGAAATGAAGAAGAAAGGCGGCAGGCAAGGCCCAAAAATCTGATCCCTGTCCACGGCTAGGATCGCGCTGAGAGCGATCGACGATCGCGAGACTCGCCCTGAATAAAACTCTTCGAAGTGATATGTGTGGACGCCGTTAAACGTCACTGTTGGTCAAAAAATCTGTGTATACATGTGTTATGTTCCTCTGTGTGTGTTTGTGTATGTGTGTGCTTGTTCGCTGCTTCAATCGTAATTGATTAATCTGTTGATTCGTCAGATGCTTGCTCGGCTTCTCTCGGTCGCGAATCGACGGTCTACGAGTTTGAGAAAAAACATGTTACATCGCTCGAGCTTGTATGCAACTGCTTGCGAGCGAGAGAAGCGGGCGACGATTTTTCCATGAAGCGCGTACACGGCTAAATACGATTAATTCCAGAGCGCGCATATACTCAGTTACATAATAAAGAGACACCGTCAGTTACAAACGCTACAACGTACACTCCCGATTTTTGTCTGCCCTCCCTCTGCGCTCGTGTACTTATGTTAATATATCGATGATACACCACGCGCTTCCTTCCACGTTCGCCGTAAAACTGTTACAGATGTTTCAATTTTCATACGTACTCACGCGTACATACAAACGTATATATATATATATATAATATATATCAACCCATCATTTTGTTTCTCATCTTGATAATGCGTATATGCGCTATACATCTATTATATATATAATATACATATATATAATATGCGATCACAGACGCGTGTAATTCGCGCGTATAGAGTTTGCACATTTCCTTTCTCGTCTTCCGTCCACTCTTCATTTTTGTGCCACACATTCTCTCACTCTCTCCCGTCTACCTTAACGACTTAATATTGGATTTGATTTGTTTAAACAGCCTCTCTCTGTTCTCCGCCCGCACCTCTTCATGCTCGTCTCGCTCGCGCGCGTACTGCTGCCAACCGTTTGGTCAGAAGGGGCGAACAACCATTTCCTCGCTGTCTCTATCTTTCCTTGAACTGGTAATCGCCGAAGTAAAGAACGCTACGCGAAAGGCATTGAAATTTCGTTGATGAAATATCGAATAAGTTTGTGTGGATTCTCCGTTCGCCCCTTCGTTTGGTCCTTGCCCACTTCGTTCCTTTCCTTATTTTCTCAGGATTCAATTTCACTCGCGGACGCTGCACTATTAATATCAAAAGAATCGTTTAAGCTCTGGTTTTCGGAACAGACAATTGCTTACACGACTTTCGTTGCAGCGCGCGCGATACTTTCCGTCACTTTTGTCATCCCACTCTCTCTCTCTCTCTCTCTCTCTCTCTCTGTTCTTGTTCGATCGATGAAAGAAACGCGCCGTGTCGCGTACCATTATTTCTTATTATCGTTAATAATAATCCGGGTTGGTGACAATAACGCCATGTGATCCACCGTAATTAAACACAGCCGACAGGCATTGCTCGTCTCTGCGCGCGGGCGCTCGCAGAATCGGTGCGACAGCGCGCGTGCAGATCGTCCTATGACCTATTATTCTTAAAGACTCCATTCCTCGACACACATGGATACGACGAAAACGAAGGTACACTTTTTTGTCATTTTTTTCTTCTTTTTTTGCTTGCTTGTATGTTTATATTACACAGTTCTCACGTTATACGATAGCCAGTGAAATAAACGGAGTTTTAAAACGTGTATAATATGTACAACGCGGGATCGCAAATCCAATTTCTTTCTCTCTTCCAATGTTTTCCGTTTCATCTTTCTACTTCCATCAATGCATTCCCTATGCCATCTCTGCTCGTGACAAAAACGGTACAGGAAATGTTACGAAATCGAACCGTCTCAATGACTTGGTTATCGCGGGTTCAAAGATTTCTTAATTTACCCTTAAGATTATTTGCGGCGTCGTAAAATCGTCCTGGCGATTACGCCAATGGTTAACGCGAGCAGTTGTCGATTCGCGAGAAAAACGGACGACCGACGGTTTCCCCTGCGTCCGGAAAGAAACTTGCTCATCTATCTTTCTCTCTCCATCTCATCGAACGCGCTTATGGCTAATAAAAAATACAAAAACGAGTGGAACTAAAAAATAAACGAAACGCGGTCAAAGTGCAATACGAGTGAAACATTTTGTCGCCAACGATCGTCGCGCGTAATAAAATCTCAAAAGCGGGGACAAACTGTTAGAAATTTCCAACTCTATACCAGAAAGGCTGAACGCGATACGATTGGGTATTACAAAGAAGGGGCAAGCTTCAACAGATCTGAAACGTTAACGAGAAAAAAAACGCGCGAATAACAAGTCTACTACACAATATATCCTCACGAACGTAGAAAAATACGAGTGTCTATATACAAAAACAACCGATAAACCTTTTTCTCTCTCGCTGTCTCCTTTTCTATCTCTTTCTCTCTCCCTGCCTCCTCGTCTGTTTCTCCTCTTCTCCCACTACGGGTGTCCACAGAATTACCACAAGCAAAACCGATCGGAAAAAGCGAAACGCCCTCGGCACAGCGATTCGCGCAGCGGAAACGATTGCCGCGTGTCAAATACAAAAGGATTGGCCTCGGTGCCAGATCAACAATTCACTCTCGACTGGAGGATCATTTATCCATTTTTTCTTTTTGTTTTTTTGCAACACTAACCCAAATTTTTCTTTCTTTCCTCTCTTCTATTCTCGCGCTTCGATACTCCTTCTCTTCATTTCTCGGCTCGGTACTCATCAAAGAAATCTCCGTCGCTCAGTTCAGCGTTACAAGCAAACGGCGGACAACTTGCAGATAAATGTATCAAGACAGTCAAACTTCTCTGATTACGTTTTTCTTCCTACCGTGTGTATGTCTCCTTTCTTTTTTTTTTCATCTGTGTCACTGTGTGTGTGTGCTCGTGGGTGGATGGATGGATGGTGTTGGTATCAAGATGCCTTGTTATAATCGTGTAATATACTGCGCGAAGAGAATCGTTGTCACGTCCGCTCGTTCCTTTCTTTGTTTTTCTGTCCTCGCGCGGAGACGCCTCGCTGCGAAATTATCTGCCGCGGCGCGTGAGTTGACACTTCGATAGAAAATGAAATCGGCGACAAACTGACGGACAGCGAAGTAGACGAAGGAGCGGTGACGGTCAATTCGCTTAGGTCATGTATCGCATCACCGCGCGGAGCGCGTACAGCAGTTCGGCTTGCATGCGCGCCTCCAAGATCATCAAATTCACGTGCACCTGAAAACAAAATACAATAACAATTAAGAAAAGGCCGATATAATAATAAATGGCAATTTTAAATAAAACGAGAGTATTAAATCTTTTATATTTGGAATATGATCTATCGTATTCTGGATGTACGGAAACTAAATATTTTCCACAGGAATTAGAATTGCACTTTTTAATCGCTGCATTTATAATTTCCGAAAGCTTGTATCTTAAAACCGTAGCACGTAAAATCGAAATGAGTGCGTTAACCGGACGAGTGCAAATAGGATTACGCATAATCTGCTTACGTACACTCGTGCCAGTTCAAAAATCGACGAACAGAGGGACGAAACAAGCTATTCGGAAAAACGAGAAATGCATAACAAAAATATGATTTGACAATTTTGCCATTTGACTAAAGACGAAACGCACAGATATTATAATTTAGAAAAGAAATTCCTATTTCATTTTCGAGGTCGACGTTGAAACCTGTTATTAAAAATCGGTGGAATACGAAATACGAACCTTTTCGCTGTGCTTGAACTCTCTCATCACGCGATCGTAGTCCCTCTTCGTGACGCGCTCGGGATAGCAGACGGCGCTCTTGATGAACGTCTTCAGGCTGCGCTCGAGGAGCTGGTTCACCTCGTTGTAGTCGTAGTCATCGTGCCTGATTCCGAACATGCACTGTATGTAGTTCCAGATCGCCCGTCTGAATCGCGACGTGTCCACCTTGTTGTGGGTGCCCATCGTCCAATAGGTGAGATTGTACGCGGTCTTGAACTTGTCGTCGAGCAGGTTGCCGACGTCGTTGTAGAGTCGGTTCACCAGCGAGTAGCCGTGATCGTCCCACGAGTAATCTTGCACGCGGAACGTCGGTATGTCGTTCAGCTGACCGCGCTGGAAAAATTAGAGACGACGGGGACGGTCAGACGATTTGCATAGGACGCTGTCCAACCAGACGGTGGAAACGATGACGATCCTGTTTTCCGGTTTTAAAACTGAAGCTACTCCATTCGAGGGAGACACACACGTGTCGGCCGCTCGTAAATATTCATGGTATTGGGAATAGGAACGGTAATCGAATCGACGAAACTTAAATATTCATCGCGTCGCCTTGAAAAGTTACTTTCGAATCGTGAATATAACGCGCGGACGGTAATTCGATTGTGTACGAAACTGGAAACGCTGCTTTTAACCCGTTGGATCGATTCCAATCTGTTGTCGAATCAATCTTAAAACGTCTAAGGCAATATATGATTTTTTTTTTACTACTATCGTTACGGTGTTCAATAATTCTCAACAATTTCAAGACGGACACTCACCTTGGCGAAGTCCTGGTAGATGAAGGTGGGGTCCTCGATGAAGTGGCCAATATCGGAATCGAGCACTGAACTGCTCCTCTGGGGCGCCGCGGCCAGCTCGGCGGACTGCGTTTCCACGGTCTCGAATCTTTTCGACAGCTCCTCTTGCGTGATCTGATACGACTCGGACTTCTCTGAGAGCCTTTTCATACGTTCCATCAGCGCCTCGACGCCGACCTCCTGCTCGCCCACTATGCTCGGCGAGGACGGCGGCGACGGCATGTTTTCTACGCAAACATATTTCTCGCTATTGCCATGCATTTTAACTTAAGCTTCAATTACGAAACGATGAAACAAGCACATTGCAGATTTCATGCATTTATAATTCATGAAAAATTATACAAGAAATGCAATATGAGAATAACTTATAACGTTCGAGGAGGAAAAGATTTCTATTTACATTTCTTTTTCCCAGATTGATATTTTATAAGTAAAATCTTGAGCAAAAAGTAGTTTGTTTTTTCACATTAAAAGGAAGGTGATAAGTTGTTTCTTACCAGTCTTGCCATCGCCATTGGGAATCTTCTTGGGACTACTGGAAAGCTTGTCTTTGGCAGTTGGTACTTTATTGCTATTGTCCTGGACGTTCTCTTTGTAATGGTGCCCAGTCACGTTGTCCAGCTCCTCGTTGATCCCGCAGGAAAAGACGAACGAAGATAGGGAGTGGAAGTGGGCCAAAAGAACTATCGCGTGGACGACCTCGGCCAGGGACCAACTATCCGCGCCTTTGGTCAGTTTCTGTGAACCCGAACAAACGTCCAGTTTTACATTCGCCTTCCAATTAAAATTGTCAATCGACTGGAACAAGAATGCTCACCTCTATGTGCGTTTTGTTCAGCAACCACGGTCGATGAGCTAAAATCTTGTTGATCTCATAGAGATCTTGTAGTTTTCCCGGGATCGACTTCAAACCTTGAAGCCAAGACGGATCACCGCCTTGAAGAAGGAACTCTCCCTTCTGTAGGTTTATTAAATAGCTGCACTGATGCCTGCCAGCGGCCTGGAAAAGACAAACACACACAAACATTAAAAAAAGTACAGATGATTGAAAATTGAGCTGTTTTTCAATTCTTACAAACGATTGTTAAATTATAAGACAATTTTCTTAATAGCCAATTAACTTGCTATCTACTGTTTCCCGTGTAAAATCATACGAGCCCTAAAGGAGAAAGCCCTTCGACTAAAGGGAGACTGTAAAGCAAAGTCCCAGGCAAACTACCGTGTCAGCCGGCTAACTTCAAAAGAGACTACGCAAAGAAAGAGTCCTCGAGACGGGGAATGGGACAGAGACGGGATCAAACGGAAAGGAAGAAGTGGCGGAAAAGAATGAAGAAGCGGCTCGTCGAAGAGGGTCGAGGGAGAGAAGCGACAAATTGCCGGCGACGCGACGCGCGACGTATCGAGGCGCGAAATTGGGCGGGAGTAGTGTATCGATCGTGTGCGTTCTACTGTAGAGACTACGGACCCTTGGACATAATGTAAAGGTAGAGAGGACCGAGATAGGAAAGCCAAACAGCGACGTGCTTGCCAGACTCGACGGGGAAGATACGCGAAAACTGTATGACACTTCACTGAGGGGATAGGACTCGGTAAAAATCGCTGCTCTTTCATGAAACCTCTTTTTATACAATTATACTAACAATACGATTGATCGAAAGAAAGAACGGAATTACAGTATTGAAAATAACAAACGATTAGGGCAAATGGAATGACAAAATAATGAACGATGGATACGGGGGAAAAGGGTTAATACAGCAGCGAGGAGAATAATGTGATTTGATACGATCAGTGTTTCCTCTTTTGCCGGTTTGTTTTGCACGCTGAAATTACATCAGAAATTCAAATGGCCGGCAGCGGGAGAGTGACGGCGACGTCGACGAATAGGTAGACGAACGTCGACGGAGGTGGAAGGAGGAGATGATGAAGCGCGTAAACAAGACAAGTGTTTACTACCCGGATCCCGTCGGATCGATCGTCCGCGGGAGTGATAAGAGATACTCGCAAACATCGTGACTGATTCGCGGCCGCATCCCTTGGAAATTAATAACGAGTGACAAACGTCGGATGGCAAGCAATGCCAGGCTGTGTTTTTCCTAAAGTACGCTTCGAGAAGTGGTCCACTCGAGCGACCAGAAGCACTACTCTCCTGTCTTTGGACGGTTAGGGAAAATGTTTCAGAGTGTTTTCCACCCTCGGGCGATAAACTCCTCTCGAGGATTGATGTGACGTTCTGGGAAACGAGTGATAATTCTCGCGAAGCGTGAGATAATTCGAAATTCTGAAGCAGCCACGTGTGCAGGTGACGAGCCGCGTTAACGTCAACCGAATTCTTTGCCCAAAAGCTCGCGGAGAACGAAAAGAACTGGCTAGGTTCGAGTGTACTGATGTTTTTATGGTTCTCGCATCGAGACTGGCGAATCTCAGGTAAAATGTTTACCGGTAGGAAAGCTGTTTTTCAGATATCTTATCGCGTTATCGTGCCACCCGGCAATCGCTCTTATACCCGACCCGCTCCCCAACCTTCCTCCCCCACGCTTTTAACAATTCTCGTCGTTCTCTAGATCTCTTCTAACCAAAGCAACGTCGACTCTTATCGCCGCTCCGATAAAGTGTTTTCGGGCTGATCGTGCCGAGCGACGATATTTTCGTCTAGCCTGCCAGCCTTATCACGTCAGCCTGATTGGATCTCGCATACACTTTCGACGCATCTCGGAGCAACCATAATTGGAATAAGTATTCCTAATTACGAAAGAGAATCTGATCTTCATTCGATTTAACACATTTAATCGCTAGCTTCTCCTGTTTTTTCTTAATTTTTTTTTAATTGAAAAATTATGTATTGCATTCTTTCGTTCAGCTGCTATCACTGACAAGGAAGTCGCAGCCTCGATACGATATCCTGTTTACGAGTCGTTTAATCAACTGACCCAAATTCAACTCGCTTTTACATTAAATTGGCTTGGCTGTTTCCTCGTTAAACTGGAACCTTTTATAAAATAATCTCGCTATGGTAATGCAGCTGGACGGACACCGCGCACTCTATTCTTCAGGAAACGGCCAGTTTCAACCGGCTACGAGAGCGTAACGTTATGAAACCCATTGCACTTAGTCGGTTTCTTGATAATCTTTGGCCCAACGACCCGCGACTTGAGGGACGGACTACGAGAAGACACACGAGGTGATAATCGCATTCGGAGTTTATTACGAGTCCGCGAAAAGTCAACACGTGCCGAACGTGTTTTCCATGTAGCAACTGAAAAAAAGAGTGCAGTGACTCACACGATCAATCGACTACCTATAAACCCGTTAACTTCGATTAGGAATTACAAATTCGAGTTTCACTGCGTATGCAGATTATAACAGAAACGTTTTATCAATTTATTTTGTATAACGCTGAAACTTGCCACGTTAATGAATCATAGCGAGAACGAAGCCGCGAGGCTGTAACACGTTTCCACGCTATCGCGGTACAAATTAATCAGTATGCATGCAAATGCTACAATGATATCTTTTCGTAGCCAGCGTGTTTAGATTTCTGCACGCGCGCCTCTCGTAATCGACAATAATAGAATAAAAAGTACACAGACTGACGCCGTCGACTGACGTTAATAACACGCGGACTGTGCGCCTCGTACGCCTGATAAATAATAAGAGAGCGACGCTCGGAATTCGATTTCGCGAGCTCTCGATTCATCGTCGTCCGCGGCGGATCTCATAATGAAGATTCTTATGTCACCCGGGCGGTTGTTTCAGAATTCGTTATTAAAAAAACTGATTTTCCCACCGTTGATCCCGTTAGCATTAAACCGTGCGCTCGAGCCGGGCTAATAGTTTATGTAATAACGCAGAGTTCTATTTTTCTTTTTTTTCTTCCTTCTCTCTTTGCCTTCTAGCCACGGTCTTACGCAATCAGTTTCAGCGATCTTCTCGCGTTTTAAAACATTTATTCTCGGCGCGCGCGATCGCACCGTTAATGCCACGCAGCCCGGCGCTTTCGAATCAGCGACCATTTTTTAATACTTAATCGTACTTTCGCTCCAGCGAATAAAACTCCCGCGCACACAGCCAGACACACGTTCCACAGTTTCCTGTAGGCCGCGTTATCGCCGACGCGGAAAAACTTGCCGCTGTTACGGCGAATTAGATAAAGTAGGAAAAGCTCCGATAGGATGGAGCACTCACCATAATGGCGATCAGATGCCTGTAGTCGTAAGGAAGCGGTCCGTCGCCTCTGAGGATGAAATGTTGGGTACGGAGGAAATGTTCCAGGTATGTCGGGTGCGAGGCCATCACCCTGGAGACATGATCCAGCCTGTTGTTCTGGAGGAACGCATCCATCAACAGAATGTGAGTCTGGAAGCAGAAAACACGAGCCGGTTAGGCGACTGATAAGCGGCAGGATAAACAAATTAAAATGCATTACGAATAAATTCAGATTTTTACCGGGCAATTATAGTTTTCTCTGATCAGCTGGTAAACAGGGCAATTAAAATTTAAATGTATGTACATATGAGTAAATATAATCGTTTTCAGTTAATCGTCTCTAACAGTATAACATTGCACTTGCTTAGGCAATGAAATAATGTTTTGTCATCCGATTACATACTTGTGCATTATTTATCAGCGAAACGGCTGACGATTCTGTGTTATCAACTGGCAGATCACTGAAATCATAAACACGAATCACGTGAACGGCGACGGACGTAACACGCGTAAACGTTCGCATAATCGCGTTGATGGCACGACCGGCGGCCCGGAACAGGAAGACTGGGTCACTCGGTATAGCGCGGAATCAGGTGTAAGGCGTCGCGTCGCCGAGACAAACGCGAGACGCGGTGCGATCCCGTCGACGGTGGTATCGCTGGTGTAACCGCCACCTCGCACGGGCGATCGTATAACGCTGTACGGTGTGAAAAACAAGAGAAACTGATAGACTGCACTCGTTTCTTGAAACGCACGCAGCCTCTAAACTTAGACCCTACACTCCCTGCCAAGATTCCCTGTCGACGAGATTTTAGTACAGCTGCGTAACGCGTTCCTCTTTTTTCGGTTACAAGCTAGTGGTTACAACCGCGGTGACACGCATGGGAAACTGCGTACAGGAAGCTCTTGCCTAAACACTTTTTTGACACTCCGGGCGCGAAATTCGGTTTCTCGTGCATGTTTAGCGGGCGCAAAATAGCACATTCACGCCCTAGGGCGGAAAAGACGGAAAATGATATAATTACAACTTCGATGGCTTTTGTTATCGATTAATTTCTCGCCCGGCGTGTCAAAAAATAGTATGTGCACCACGGGCGCAAAGGGCATTCTGTCACTCGTGTGAATTTGTCGCCCTCGCTTCGCTCGGGCAAAATTCACACTCGTGCCAGTGCTAGAATGCCCTATTTTGCGCCCTAGGTACACAATGTACTATTTCAACCCTACCGAACGAGCTCCAGGATTAGACAGATTTAATTCATCGACTCCAGACGCGCGCACAATAGAATCCTTCGAATCGTATCGATTGTTTTTCACAGAGAGGCGAGTCGAGGTAAAAGCAAGTCGGCATTCAGAAACGGCCGGCGCCTAGCCAGTACGAGCACGATATATTAATGCGAACAGTTACCGACCTTCTGGCGGGTCGACGAACCCCACGTACGTACAAATTAAACGGAAAACGCATTTCACCGGGGGCTTTCGCCGATGAGAGGAATATCAATCTCGAATCCCCCCCCCCGTGGGCGTCGGTCACCGAACGAAAATATCGGAGGAACGGTACGACGGAGCCCCGTGGCGAATATTAACTACGCTAAGGAAGAAATATCATTCTAATATACGCAGCTAATAAAATCTGTTCGATGCGTGTAAACTGAGCCATTATACAATTCACACCCACGTAGCCAGTGTATGATTGTTAAAATGCAAACTAATATCACATTCCTTCATGTTGATATAACGAAATTCATTTCTACTACGCTTTACCATCGATACATAATTAATAAAGTGAAATGACTCATTCCTCGTATGAGAAATGGAAACTAATCATTGTTTTCACAGCTGTGACGTACAATGCATTGTTAAATTCATCGATTGCTGTTCTCGTCTCTTGTTTCCCTTTAAATAAAATTTCCAAATCCTTCAATCCTGTTTATTACTGGTTCCACATGTTAAACAGTATAAATACGAGCAAAGTATGATAACTGAAGGACTCTGTTCTGGCCTAATGCTTATCAGAGGAGAACGTTTCGTATGCATTTACATTTATTATTTGCACTGGGTGCACAGATAAGTTTAATCACTTAATGATTTTGATAACGGACTAACAATTGATTTTACAGTAACGATGTAGGACATATCAATATGGGAATATTCTTACTCATAGAGATCGTAAATGATTTCTCAGTATTTGATAACTACCGCGAAATTGGGGTCACCGGTTATCTTCGTCGACGATCTCTCGTTTTTAATCGTCGATCTAGCAACGATCCTCACACTGGCGATCAATCATACGAGAAACGAGGGTTCGGTACGAACGCGGGTAGCGAATAACGATAACGATCCGAGGAGGTCCAGGTCCGTTACGAAACGCGAATCGAATCGAATCAACGTGGCCACGGTTCACGTGTTCGCGTCACGAGGCACGATAGAGGGAAATTATCCAAACGTGGACTCTATTACGCGAGTGTTTGTCTAGCCGGTCGTTACTCCTTGCCGGAAATAACAGAGTACCGTGTGCGCACGAACCTTCTCGCTCGGTGAATGGGCATAATTGAAATCCAATCGGAACTGGCACTTGCAAAACACGTTTAGATTCACCCGAGTGTGGGTGCACCGGTGAGAGACGGTGCACACAGTACGCGATACTCTGAGGAACGATGAGTTTCGTCGATTGATTTATAACGAAAGTAACATAAAACCGAACGATAAGAAATATTAGTCATCGATGTTCCAACAGTCCTTAAACCACGATGAAACGAGTCGCTTATCGAGATGTATTAATATTCTCAATCTCCCAATGCGGTCTCATCGAAAACTGATAACGTGCATTTCAGGTTTCAACAGTTCATTTACTGAAATGTTAAATGTCGAAGATTTTATCTTTTCATTATTCTCTTTATAATGATAGGCTTATTGACGACACCTAAGCTCGTTCAACGATAGACAAGGATCGAAGGTGATCATCTGCCGAAAATCGAAAATAACCCGGCCGCATCATCAACGGCGAACGCCGTTACTCAATTAACCCGTACGCGGGATTTGGCAAGGTATCGGATCGTCTCGGAAGCCCTCGAGAGCTCGCACGCGAAACAAGGGAAGAGTGAGGGGATTAGGGGGGAAGGGGTAGCAGTAGGGTGAGAGGGAAATACAGCCTGCTATCTTCCGAGAACTCTTTTTCTTTTGGCAGAAGCCCCTGGCATCATGCCCACGCACAAACTCCCTGAGACTTGGTGGCGAGCCTCTCTTCGCGCTCGCGTGTGCTCCTCTCCCCCGGCTTTTGTACGTCCCTCACCGTCCGCCGCCCCCCCCCCTCACCCCTCGCAGTTTCTTACACCCTTTCCACGAAGTCATATGGAATTTTCCCTACCGACGAGCAAGAAACACCCTGCAGCTCGTTTCTTGCCACGCAAACGATATATTTTTGATCCACGCTTTTTCGCCGGCTCTATACGCGAACGGTCTAATGGTATTTTAACGATAGTTTAATAATATTTTCGTCGGCTCGTTAATCGGCGTTCTAGCCTGAACGATTTTCAATTTAGTAGACCTCCCGAAACGGCTCTGTTTTCCTTTTATTTCGTCCTAATTGCTGACCGGGTTTCAAAGCTGATTGTGAAGCTACGAGTGGAGGTACCATTAAGCTGCAGGCGACAGTTATCAAAACTTTCGAAAATTCTGATATAATGCCTCTACTATTTCTGTGTAAACGCTCTCTCGCTGGGCACGAATGGGTTCCCTCGACAATCTGAAAGTAACTAATGATCCTGTGGGTCCCTTATCGTAAACCTAAATGCGACCCAAATGGATCTTCCTAATGATCACATATTTTCTTATTTCCTCTCATAAGTTCAATTTCTATTTTGTGAAACGCTTGAGAATCGTCTTCAAATACTACAACTTTACGTGTAACCGTCGGACAGACGCGGCTGCAATCGTACGGGCAAGGAATATGCGATTAAATCAGTTATTTATGGTAAGAGAGAAGACTGTTGGTTATTGTAAAAATCGTTTAGAATTCGAATCGCGTACGCGATTGAAACGAAAGCACATTAGACTCGGCACGCAAATAGGCGGGGTCAAATGCGCGACATAAATAGCGATGCAGTGATCGACGATATGCAAGCGAGCCTCTAATTATAATCGCGAGAGACCGGTCTTGCTTCCGTGGCTCACGCCTTTCAGGGAAAATCGCAATACTGTTTCTAAGCACGCACCGAATTCAACTCCGTCCGTCTCCGTTTGCCGCTGCAAACTTCTTTCTCGCGCCTGACTAACAAATGAAGCAAACCATGGAAGCGTTTAGTTCGGAATAAAAAAAAAATATATTTGCTGTTAGAATTTCGTAAGAAATATAATTAGACATCAAGGACTGTGTTATCTGAAATATTTTTGTGGGAATATTTTCAACTATGAGATCTGCAAGCTGTTTGATTAAATAAGAAGTAATTTCCATAAAAACTGTGAAATGACATTAGGTTGCCCTCGGACGCGCAACGAGAAGATTTCAGTTTGTGGAGTGGTAAAATTAACGTCGCGTTGCGAAACGTGGAGCATCGAACTACTGGCTTATCTGCCACAGACGTTCCTTCGCGATTTTATTATAAAATCACAGAAAAATCTAATTTGAAATAATAATATGTTACAATCATTGCGCGTGCGTGTGAGCATTAGGAATGCGAAGATTCGGTATAATGTACGCACAGGTAGATCAGTCAGTAAGAATGAGAGATAGATAGAGTGTGGTAGTTAAGAGTCACGGCGAGATATAGCGAGCGAGAGAATAAT